TAGTATCTATGCCTGACCCTAAAAATACAAAGCAAAGCTTTGTCTCCGTTGTCATTCATCCTCTCCTGTTTTATGGAATAGCCTCCTTGCGAGCAAAGACCATTTTCAAGCCATGGTCAATGGCTCAGGGAGCCTGCCCTGTTGGCCGTGCTGATAGTCCCAGCCATCATAGCGACCGTAGACCATTCCAGGAGATGTAGGGAGCACATCCTGCTGCTGCCCACACGGCGTAGGCAGCGCCTACAGAACAAGGTCTCACAGATCACGCTGTGGGTTTTGCCCAGAACATCAGAGCTGGCTGGTTCACATGGCAAGTCCTGCTGGGCCGGAGCAGGTTGGCCAGGAGAGCAGTGTTCCCAGGCTCGCAGCGCGGGCTCAGCACAGCATGGAGAAGGCATGGAATCGCATCAGCTTGGGGCCAGACAGACCCCAGCTCAGACCCTGCCTCTGCCCCCTGGCCAGCCATGTACTTGGGCAAGTTATTCAACCCCTGCCTCAGTTTCCTCATGTACACTCTATCAGGTCAAGGGAGAGGATGCGTATGTTGCCCTGGCTCAGCGGTAGAGTGTAATAAATACTCTTATTTTGACTAATACTCATTTAGTGCTTTTTATGCACCAGGCATGACACTGATCCTTTTACATGAGGAAACTGAGGTGCAGAAGAGTTGAAGTCTCCCCCCCACACACACCGCAAGTGCAGGAGGAAGCGCTGGTATTGACCCACTGCCTACACCGCCCATTAGTGCCCGAAGAGTTGAGGCTGGCCTGTTTCAAAGCTCAGATCCTCAAGTTCAAGTTCTGCAAGACTTCGCTGGCACTCTGACATTCCTGGACCCACCATTCCCAGCCCTCCCTGTATAGACGTGCCAACGCAGCCCTTCCTGATATTATCAGCCCTGCTTCTTCCGTGGGCACTAGGGTGGGTAAAAGGAAGGGAAGGAAAGCAGAGGTCGTGGGTGAGAATGAAAAGAGTGGGCACAAAGGCCCTGCTAGGGTCACGAGCAAATAAATGACTCAATAATCCCATCACTTCCCAGGAGCTGTTGAGGTTGAACTAACTGGTGAGTAAACACGTTGTCAAGGCGCCATCTGCTGGGAAATATGTTCATTGCAGTGGATTTGTGGCAAAAAACGAGGTCTGAGTCTCAGAACCTAGTTTTCCACCCTCAGAACCAGTCTCCAGCCTTGTTGGAGACTGGGCCAGCAGTGTCCTGAGACCTATCGAAGCCAGATCTTGGGATCTTTTGTGATCGTCAGGGTATAGTTTTCTTCTAGTGTGAAACAATGGCTTGCCTGAAATCGAATATAAAAGTCTGGCGCCCCCAACTCTCTCACAAAGAACACAGATTCCATCTTCCGTGTTAGAACCAGAGGGACTTTTCATTTCTTGGTGTTGGCTTTTGTAGATGGGGAGCATTTTTGTCTCATAAAAATGGACCCAAGCTACCTCTTACAGACATACACAGACAAAGATAAAATACCAGGTGACCCACTGTAAAATGAAACATTATATATCATTTTTACCCTTTTGTAAACATGTATTCAGTGATTTATAGTGAGAAACTGGCAGATAAATTTTTTAAAAAGGCAAGTCAGGGCATAGAAAATGGCTCCATACGGCACCTGGCAATAGATTATCTGCTCCCTAAGGGCCAGACCTCTGTCTAAAGTCCTGTAAATTCAATCACAAGCAAGCAACCAAGGAGCACACCCAAAAGACCATTCCTGCCTTCAAGGAGCTCACAGTATTTGGAAGAGCTGACAAGTTGTAGTAGGGCTGTAACAGAGTATATGGAATTATGTGTGGGATCACATAGAAAGGGAGACTTCTTGCCAGACCACAGTGGGATGCGTGTCAGGGGTATGTTCCCTGAGTACCCAGGAGTTTGCCATAGAAGAATTTTTTTCTTCATTTTTTAGTAACTTCACTTGACCATCAGATTTGATCTCTGATCCCAGCTGCTCATCATCTGTTAAGGATTTAGCAAAATCATAGATGGCTCCCTGAATACCTATCCCCATGAAACCCTTGGTTTTCAGGACATGAGGGTCAGGGTCCAGGCTTTCTTGCTCTTGGAATAAAGGGAGTGGCACTCAGCTGAAATCCGTTTGATGTGTGTGTGTTAGCTTGGCTGTCCTCCAAATTAGACCTTGCCCTCCATGATGTAAGTGAGGATGATGGTGAGCTTCTTCTTCTTTCTTTCTCTTGCTCTTCAATTTTATCCAAGAAGTTAGTGGAGGGAAAAAAAAATCAGGCACTTCTGAAAACCCATCCTGTAGCCCACCCCAAATCACATTCACTCCACCACAAACGTGCACTAATTCCCAGTTCTGTACCAGTTACTATGCTGCCATTAACAGGCCATTAACCGCCCTCAATTGCACAGTTTCTTGGCAAAAACCAGATTGTGCAATAGAGTGCAAAAAAGCACAAGTAAGCATAGAGGAAGCCCAGTACCCCCAGCCCAACTCGGGGTAGGGCATTTCCCATGAGCCAAGGCTTATGTGAACTGAATGCACAGAGAATCTTACGGAATTGATAAGATGGGGAGAACTGGTCTGCCCCGGGGCCGTGTGAACCTGTGAGTGCTGTATGGAAAGGCAGGTCTGGAGGCCTCTCATCTCTATTCTCTAGTCACAAGGGTGAGAGGCACACTGTGATCCTGGGTACACATCTTAGAGGTTCCATATTTATTCTGCAAACCCATCTTCCTCCTAGATCAGCCTCCTGTCTGTGGGGGGAAGTAGAAACAGTTCGCTATAACTCTGTCTGAACCAGAACTCACATGTACCACCCTCTCCAAAAAAAGTGTGCCAGAGGGCCTATATTTGAGGGCTCCTGGGTCCTGGTCTGGCCTGCAATGATGGGGATGCCAGACCTTGATCCTCAGCTATCTCTTGTGTTTTTTCCCAACCTGGTCAACCATCCTTCAGGGTGCATCATCTGCTCCCCAAATTCCAGCCATCAGGCTCAGTGTTATCACCCAAACATCCTGACGCTGGTGTTGCTCTTTTTCATTGTCATTGTCATTTTCATTTTTAAAGCTCCCACTTGTTATGCATTTACTGTGCATGGGGCAAGGCTAAGTTTCCACACCTCTCAGGAAATTAAGTCATCTGGCCTCTTCCTGTTTGATGAAACTCTAACCTCCGAGCTTCAAATTCTTTGTAACATTCGTAACATACATATGTTTGTGTGTATGTCATGACATGTATGTGTGATATAATTCAAACATGTCTCCTGCGTCCTTTGAAATCTCTCCTCCACCACTTCTTAGGTAACAGTTTTTTCCCTTCTTTAATTCAGACGCTAAATGGGAATGTGTTGCAATAGGGTTAGGTTTGTGGATGGGCCATACTTGGCTCACGAATCCGTTGTAGCTTTGACACTGCGCTGGAACTTTTTGTCTGGGCTGCCCTGACTCGGGTTTGGAGATCTTCCCGGGGAAGATGCTTTCCTTTTTGAGCACAGTTGGCCTAAGGCATGTTGCTGGGAGGATGGCTGGACGGAAGGCTGTCAGCAGCCACTCCCCACGACGTCTGTGCCGCTTTCGGGCGGGCCTGGCCAGCTTGTGGTGGCATTGACGGGGCACCGTTGGTGCTGATACAGAGTTATACACTGATTTGCAGCTTTTTTTTTTTAAGATTTTATTTATTTATTTGACAGAGAGAGACACAGGGAGAGAGGGAGCACAAGCAGAGGGAGTGGGAGTGGGAGAAGCAGGCTTCCCGCGGAGCAGGGAGCCCGATGCGGGGCTCGATCCCAGGACCCTGGGATCATGAGCTGAGCCGAAGGCAGACGCTTAACGACTGAGCCACCCAGGCGCCCCTGATTTGCAGCTTTTAAGGCTCAGCTCGGGAAGAGCCAACACCGTCAAACATGCCTTCTCCACGCTGTGGAGAAAGCGGAAGGCATCCCTCCCAGGGACTGTGCCCCTCAGTCCACCCTCTTCCCCTCTTTTCTCTCCGCAGCAGTCCCAGTCTTCGTCCTCACTCCCCAGAGAGGACGCCCCGAAGACCCCTTCCCTGGAGGCTGCGTTGAGGCCGCCGAGGGGCCAGGGCCAGCCGCCGCGGGAGGAGGCCACCTTGCCCAGCTGGAGGAGCACCGACAGGCTGGACGAGACAAGTAACGGTTTTTAAGCAGCATCTGCTTGGTCTGTGGGTCCCAGGAGTGCTGCCTGGAGGCTTCTTCCCACTCAGCCTCTCCTCCCTCCCTCAGCCCCAGTTAGTGTGGGCCCACTTGGGGCAGCTGAGCCACAGGGTCACAAGGCCTCTAGCGCAGCACACGTATAACGTGGTGGTGTTTTCCTCTGTGCAGTCTTCCCGCTGAGACCCATGGGACAGTGGGGGGCTCCAGGGTCAGGGTGTTAAAATGTCTCGGCCGCGTGCCACCTTTCAGCTTCCAGTTCCACGTGAACGAGGAGAATGTACCTCATGTGGACGAGAAACGCTAATCCAACCTAGCAGGGTATTTCAGTGTTCAGAAGGATTTGGGTCCCAGCAAGGGTTGGTTTTAAGAGGGTCCTTTTTGAAACCTGACATGGTAGTTAGGGTAATACTCGCTCCTATAACAAACAAACCAAACGTTTAGGTGGCTTAACATAATAGTTTAAGTTCTCATCACACACCAGTGCAATGCAATGTCCTGGCTGTGGGAGGCCTTCGGAGGCCCGAGGCTCTGTGGTCCTCCACGGCCTCCGAGCCTTCTGCTGTGTCATTCATATCAGCCAGCAGATGGAGGAAGAGCGAACAGAGAAGTCAGGGCACCTGCTTCCTAACCACCTCAGCAGGGACATGGCCCACACCACTTTCATTCCCAGACCACAGGCAAGAACCAGTCACACAGCCCCACTTCAATGCGGAGGGCCTGGCAGATGTCCTGGGTGGGCGCATCCCAGCAACACAGCTCGGCCCCGAGAGGGGCGGGGCACACGAGTCTTTGATGGACAGCTGTCATCCCCACGGCGCCTGAGGATGGCATGCTGCCCTTCTGCCCGCTCCTTCTCCTCGAATGTCCCGCCCCTGCATAGAGCACTTGAACTCACCTGTCCAGAGACTCAACATCCACAACGCAGTCCATTATAAGCCTGGCAAGTCATGTAATCCTTCACAATGCAGACGCTCAAATTAGCCGAGTCGCTTTCCCAAAGTCACACATCCGAGGGCTGTGAGGTGCTTGCAACCACGTGGGTAACAGCCGGGGCCGTGAAGCCCCCTGCTCAGGCCACCTAGGTCTCTTGGGCTCCATGACTGACTGTCTAAGTCAAGATGCTCACTTCACTCTGGCACAGGTCTGTTCTTTCCTCACCTGGCTACACGGAACGGAAGCTAGGCGCATTGTTCTCACAAGAAGAAACCACGAAAGGATTCTCAACTCCCATTGTATGTCAGATCTAGAATCCTTTTCTGAACAACAACCACAAAAATTAGCAGCAAAATATTCATCTTAGAAATATGCTTTTAAAGATTGTGCTGTCGTTTCTACTCGCGAAGGGAAAAGATTGAACTAACAGCTATTGAAACAAATTCCATTGTTCTCACGGTGCAAAGAACCACAAACCATGCAATGTTTTTAACAGTCATTCTAAAAATTCCCCCAAAGAGATCATTTCCATGTGAACCTTTTAGTAGAACCCATCGGTAGAATCTGCAGAGATTCTGGGAGCACAGGAAATGTTCCCTATTTATGTATATGGTTTGGGTTTATGTTTTTGAAGTGCATTTTTCCATTCTAAATAAGCTTTTCTTTCCTTTCTTCCTGCCACCCAGAGTATCTGTTCATTCATTCATAGTCTTTCTTCCTTTATCTCTCACCAGAGACTGAAAGTTCCCACAGAGAGCAGACTCTAAAATTCCACAGGGCATATGTTTATCTTCAATAAACAATAATAACTACCCTTTAAAAATCATTTTACCATGTACAGGGTCCATCTGCAGGCACTATTTTATTCATTCCTGCAACAGCGCTGCTAAGCGTTCCATCCTCTTGTGTGGCAGATAAGAACCTTGAGGGACAATGAGGGTGAATGACTTGTTCAAGATCCCTCCGTTAATGGGGCCAAACGCAAACATCATGGCTCCAATTTGCAGGCTTTTTCAACTACTGCATGATAATAAGTATCCCCCCTCCATAAAAACAAACAAATAACACCCCAATAAATAGCCTTTCAAAATTCACACTTACACACTGAGAAGTTTATAGGAGATTATAAAAACTTCTGGAAAACACTCCATCTCCCAAAATAGTTCCCTGCTGAATTAGGAGCATTCCAAATAAAGTTGGAAAGGATTTTGATCTTCAAAACATGATTTCTTTTTACCTGATATTCTGTAAAATAAAGCACCCACATATAATTTGTCAGTTGTATAAAAACATAAAATTTAGTTCAATAATAGCACACACAGAAAAGATTTCACACTCTTCTCAAAAATCCATATATCTCTAAGGATGGAGATTTAAAATTACAAAACTATAAAACACTTATATAGAAAACCTCTGGTTTTTCTAAGGAATGCTTGGCCTTGACATGCTAAAATGTCCAGGCCAACCCCACAAGTCTTGAGGGGTGTCTGACCTGTTTAGCGGGAAGCAGATTATTCCCAGGGGCATTACCCAGTCTCAGAAGAACAGAAATGTAGAAGAGAGGAGACCCAGAGGTGGAGGTCATCTTGGGTTAATGGCCACTGGGCTATTTTCCGCAGTTCTGTTTATGCCCCAGGGGAAAGGTTGCTTCCAGAGCCTGTTAATTTCTTCCAGAGCCTGTTAATTCACGGGGTCAGCTGGAGGGACACTGTGGGCTGAGTAAACCACAGCAGGTCCACTTTGAGCCTCCACAGAGCTTACAGCAGTCAATGGATGTCTCCCCAAACACATTTCCACTTGATAGACCTTGACTGAGCATCTACTGTATGCACAGCATGTGCTCAGTGCTGGGAAATAGCAATCAGGGGACAGCCCCTTCTCTGCAGTTGCTGACAGGTGGTTGTCCGCACAGTCACGAAAGAAAAAGAATTTGGACAAAGGAGAGAAAGGAAGGGCACAGGGTCCCCAGTCCCAGAGGACTAAGAGAGTGTGGTGGTGGAGGCCAGGTACAGCTTTGAGCAGTTCCGACCATGCAGCTTGACAACCAGGATTTCACAGGAGGGGGCATTCAGGGAGCCCGCTATGCTTTTGAGGAGACGAAAATTGGTCAGCTTCTAGCTTCCTCAGAGGACCATGATGAACTGGGACTGTAAAAGGCAGCAGAGAGGGGCCAGTGGTGGACTGAATCCTTGCCCTCCACGTAGCAGGTGTCAAAGGCAGGTGCATGACCAGGACCACGTTTACAATACAGTCAGCCCGGGAGCCGGCACAGAGTGGCATTCACAGGGGCTTTCCCGCTGTGGCTTCCTCCCATGGCCCCAGGGCAAGGGGGATGGGGGTAGACAACCAAGAAAATTAACTATAGTATAGTTTAAGTCTTCAAAAATGAGAGCTTTTTGTCAAAGCCCAGAGAACAGAGTAGCCTAGCTTCTTAAGGAAAGAAGGCCAAGGATGTGCCCTTGAGAAGCAGCGTGTGAGTTGGGTCTCTGAAGCCCAGCCAGAGAGCTGACTTAGCAACTAAGTATAGGGCCTGGGGGGGAGTGGGGAGCACACCTCTCCCCTCAGAGTGAACCCATTCCACAGCCAGGGCTGAGTCTGCTTTGCATCGTGGGACTGTCTCTGTGTGCAGACTCTTAATAGAAAGATCTGAGGACCTGTGGTGTATTTGGAGGTGAGCTTAGGAAACACAGAGAGGGGAGGGGACATAAGACAGGGAAGGGAAGGCAAGGCAAGCAAATGATTCCTTATGGAGCTGGACTGGAGCTCATCCCCATTGGGGAACAGTAAGAACCAGGGTAGAACACTCTCCTGGGCAGCAGGCAAGGGAGTGGGGCTACTAATCCACCAGCTTCCCCTGCCACTGGTTGAGGGCTGCTCCCAGAGGCTGTGATGGCCCCTCACCCCTGGGGCAGCCAAGCAGCCTCCGGTAACCAAAGCTCACCTCAGGCCAAGAATCGCCAAGTGCTGGGAGTTGGAAGCCCAGAGGGTGTATGCCGAAGCCATCCACAGCGCCTGCTACAGGGGAAATCAAAATCACCACTTACTGGCCATTAATAGCCTCTCGGAGAGCCTGCGTATTTCTGGAGAAACCCAGGTGGGCTCTTTGGTCCCTGCCTTCAGCACCACCTGACCCACGAGATTGGGACATGGCATTGGGAAAATGCAGGCAACATAGAAACCCTTTTCCCCAGAAGACTGGCCATTACCACCACAACAGGCAGAGCCCATTACATGTAAATGGTAATAACACCTTCATTAGGCTCTCTTCTGAATGTTTCCACGGCCGATGAAAGCAGGGTTGTGCGGTACGCAATAGTAACTACAGGATCGGTAGATACATATACCTATGTATGGAGTACATGGTGCTGATCTGTAGTCAGGGGGAAATAATAGTAGGAGCCAACTCAACAGGCAGAAGGTAAGAAGGCTGAGGGGTAGCAGACAGGATGATCGAGGCTTTACGTATGTTGTCTTATAAAAATCCTCTCACGGCCACGGAGGGTCACACTGTCCCCACCTTTAGGTCAGGAAACAGGCTCAGAGGTGCTCTTTGACCAAGGTCCCCTGCCAGGAATCACAACAGCTGGGGCTCAGCCCTGGATCCACCTGAATCCAAAGTTCTTGTTCTTCTCCCTGCCCGAAAGCAGCCCAGGGATGGGTAAGGGTGAAAGTGCTATTAAGAACTCATCTCCCGCTCTGAGCAGGCACATGTAACACACTTGATGGGTGTCACCTCATTTAATCCCCACATGGAGCCAGGGAGGGCTTAGCTGTGCCCCTCTCACCAAAGAGAGTACAGAGGCTGAGAAGCTCCCCGAGCTTTCCACCCGGGCCTCCTGACTCCACAGTCTCTGCTCTTCCCTCTGCACCAGCTGGCCCTGGGACAGAGCAGGCTGGAGAGGTTGCTGAGACCCAGCCCCTGCCAGAGGGACCTTGTCATCCTCGGGAGGAGGGCTTAGCCATGTGCATGATCAGCCAGAACCCAGACTGGGTCATGGAATGAGCCAGACAGGCTGTCACAGCAGGAGGACTCAGGGAAGGAGGAGGAAAGTGCTCTAGGAAAAGGGGAACCAAGCAGGTGAGGTCTCTGAGAGGTCACTGGAGCTTTGCCATGTGGAGATGGTGGTGGGGACAGACCCCAAGGATAGAGGGAGTAGCCAGGGAAAGGCAGGACCCAGGCCCTCAGGTCCTCAGGCTTCCAGGAAGACGATGCTTAAATCAGCCTCCACTGGGCCCAGAATCCTCCTGGAGGAGAAGAAACCCCACCTTCTGACTCAAGACAAAAGGGAACGCGGATGTCCCGCCAGCCTGGGCTGCAGTCAGCTTAAGTGCCGCTGGGTCTCTGAGCTGAAAATGTGTTCAAGCAACATCTGAGTTCCCTGAAGGCTGTGGTTCTTCAGCAGTCCTGTACAACGCTCTGTGGACAACACTGTGAAACACCGATAACTTTAATTTCATTACACGAAACAGTACTCACTTAGTTGGTAGGAAATCTGTGTTTGAAATGGCATCTGGCAGGACGCAGCCTCAGTGTCCCAGCACAGTGGAGCTGGGGAGCCCTCAAGCCCAGAAGCTGGTGTCCACACACAAGTGCGTCTCCTCCAAAGCCCCGCCGTCCTCATCACTCAATCCCCAGGGAGTCCTGTAAGGTTCCTAATACAAGAACACAGCTTCTGTTGGCAGCTGCTGTGCCCCAGGCCAGGGGGCTGTGCCAGGTACTCAGGGCTGAGGAGCACCATGCCATCCTACTCATGCCCCAGGCACACTCTCCTATTTGGCTTCCACAAAAATAAGACAAAGCAACTTTCACCCCCTGGCATGGAGATCAACCCTTGGGGCCCCAGCCACCCGCCATCACAGATGTTCTGGGCAAAAGGGAGCCCAGCATAGGCCAACCCAGACCATGACCCCACACTGAGAACCACTCCAGCCTGCCCTTGATCAGTTGATTGGCTTCCACAGCACACTCTATAAGCCAGAGCTGTCTTGGCTTTGGATGGAGATGCACCTCATCCCTGCTTGACCAGTTATGGGCTCTGTGACCTTCGACAAGTTACTAACTTCGCTCACCTTTGTCTCCCCATCTGTCAAATAAGATTGGAACTACCAACCTCTTTCTCCCTCATGTCCTTTCCAGAATGAGGCATGTGCCTTGAGTTGAAAATAAACTTACGTGCTGAGCAGGAATAAACACTGTCACTCCCCCGCCACTCACACAGAACGCTTCTGGAACCAGATGTGTGGGGTTTTTCCATACCCACCAATTCTCTGACACTAGCCGGGTACCCTCCAGTTCCGTGCTGACCCTGTCTCCCTGCAGTTAGCTCCCAATCCCACGGTCAAGGATTCAGGACTACCTGGCTCATTTCCCAGGTCATCACTTTGACTTCTGACCAACCGGCTCTTCCCAACCCCCTCCTCAGGCTCAGTAGTTTTCTGGAGCAGCTCAGCTCACAGAACTCAGGGAAACACTTATGTTCACCAGTTTATTATATAACAGAGGATACAGATGAACAGCCAAATGAAGAGGTTCACGGGGTGAGGCCCTGGAGGGTCCTGAGCACCGAGGAGCTGGGGTGCCTCTCTAGGCACGTGGATGTGCCAGCCAGGAAGCTCTCGGAACCCCAGACTTTGGGGACATTTATGGAGGCTTCATCATGTAGCCACAGTCAATTATTAACTCATTTTCCAGTCCTTCTTCCTTCTCCAGAGATGGAGGTGGAGCTCAAAGTTCTAAATTTCTAATCATGGCTTGGTCTTTCTGGTGGCCAGTTCCATCCTGAAGCCATCCAGAGCCGCCTCCTTAGATCTAAAGATGCTCCCACCACCCAGGAAATTACAAGGGATTTAATTTAGGAGCCCTGTGTCAGGAAATGGGGTCAAAGACCAAATATTAGCAGGACCTGGGGGCAGAGTCTGGTGTGTGTGTGTGTGTGTGTGTGTGTGTGTGTGTGTGTGTGTGAACACATATATCTTATTTCACCCTGCCATCTCACAAGGCCATTGTGGGTGAGATCTGTAGAAGTTCCAAGTGCAGAGTGTGTTAACCTTGAGGGAGGCCAGGGCAGGTGACAGAGTCATCTCCCATCCAACAGAGAAAACCATGGCCCAAGGGCAAAGAGCCAGACCAGGGGCTGCCAACAGTAGCCCCCCCAACCTTCTCCACCCCAGCCAGCCCAGGGCAGGAGAGGGGCCACTCTGAGCCCGAGGTGACCATCTACCCAAGCAGAGATGCACTAGGAGCCAGATCTCGAGTGTCTCCTCATGTCTGAAGCACTGGGGCCTGCAAAGCCTCAAGGGACTTCCTGGGGACCTTCAATTCTGCCTCCTAAAGAGGTGCCCTTTTGGACTTCCCAGAGTCAGCTGCTCCCCAGGACCCCAAGCCAGCGGTGGGGAAGACGCAGATGGCAGCCTCGCCTTGCTGTCAAGTGATAACAGCCCTGTTTGGTTTCTTTCTCCCTCCCCTTCCCCCACAGACTTGGCCGAGGTTTTGCAGAGCCCGGACGGGAACTGGGTGGCCCTGAAGGATGGTACTCTGCCACACACCCACCTGCTGGCCAAACCTAAGAGTGACACGTTCCAGGCCCTGGAGGCGGCCTCCAGCATGGCCTCTGCCTACGACGAGATGGGCTCTGACAGTGAGGAGGACTTTGACTGGAGCGAGGCCTTGAGCACACTGTGCCCACGGCCCCGAGGCCGGCCCAGGAACCCCCAGCCTCAGCCCACACAGGCCCAGGGCTCAGACCAAGGCCCCTCAACCACCAACTCCGGGCTCTCCCCGAACCCCGAGGCCATGTGCTCCGACTCAGAGACCTCCTCTGCAGGCTCTTCCCGGGAAGTTGGGCGCCAGGCCAGACTGTCCTGGTTGCAGAGGAAGGCCCCCAGGGACCCCACAACAGAGAAGAGGCGCCTGCAGGGAGAGCTGGATGTGAACTTCAACCCCCAGGCAGCCAGCAGGGAGACCTCAGACAGCAGCGAGCCTGAGCAGGCCCCCCACGCTGCGGACTGGAAGGCCAGGAGGTGGGGAAGGGCCCGCATGGGCTCAGAGGAGCCAAGCGAGGAGTTGTCTTCTCCCAACGCCGGTTCCCAGGGGCTGGACAGACAACAGGTAATCAGACTGGTGCACACTTTTCAGCAGGATGTGCCCTCCTCCAAGCGTGAGTGGTGTGGAAAGGTTTCGAAGTCACAGACCCAGATTCTCATCTTGGTTTGCTGCTAAGTAGCTGAGTGGCCTAACAGCTCACATCCCCTCTTTAGGGCTCCATGATCTCCTCTCTGGGATGAGAGCTTCTTACGGTTCCAAGTGGGTTTGAGATGTGGCCCCCAGGACAGCAACCATAGCACCGCCAGGGAATGAGTTAGAAATACACATTCTCAGGCCCTGTCTGCTCAGAAACTCTGGGGATGGAGTCCAGGCATGTGTGGTCACCAGCTCTCCTAGGGATTCTGCTGTCCTAAAGCTGGAGGGCCGTTGGCTCAGGGTTAAGGATATGGGGTTTAGAGTCAGGCTGCCTGACTTCAAATCCAGCTGTGTGACCTGGGCAAGGGCTCAGGTCTGTAAATGTAGATACTATTACAACCCCCTTCAAAGAATGATGTGATGAGTGAATAAGATAATGTTTAGAATGAACTAAGCTCTGTCCTAGACACAGCAAATGTTACTTCAATATGAAAACTCAGGGCACAGTTTACTCACATTCTGTGATTCTTTCGGCCACCTCCCACCCCCTCTCAGAATCCTCGTGGCTCTGCCCACATGGATTAGTTCAGGAACCTCCTTTGAGATTATGATAAAAGCTGTGGGCTCTCTCCATAGAAAGATGCACCCATACACACACACACACACACATATTCTCTCTCTCTCTCTCACACACACACACACGCATGTGCACTCACACACCATTTGCTTTGAATGACCTTATAGAAGCAATGGATTGCGTTTGAAACTGAGAGTCTAATGGAAGATCTAGTTAGGTTGCCTCTGCCTTCTATAGGCTCACATTGCTGTCAACTTGACTTTCCACACTCCTGGAGAAACCACAGCCACTTCTGGAACCCCACTGCATCTCCAGTGGTACTCAACCACCGTGCCCTGCATTCTTAGTTTGGGTCTCACCAAAAGCAGGCTCCAAGTCAAGGATTTGGATGTAGGTTTTAGGTGGGAGGAGAGCCCAGGAACCCCAAGAGTGAGCCAGAGCAGTGAGAAAGGCCTATTAAGGCAGGCGATAGACAACCGGGGCCCCATCCCACCAGGGACCCACGGAGAACCACATGGGACACACCCCCCACCCGAGGACAGGAGCATTCATCCACAGTCTCCCATCTGCCTTTGGTACAGAGTGGCCCCACCCAGGGGAGCATCAACTCCACACACAACCAGTTTGCAGTGGTGCCTGAGAAATCCTTCAGGCAAAGAAGAAGGGAGAGACCCAGGTCTGCGGTGGGAAATGATCAGTGAGCCAGAAACTGTCCCCCATGGCTGCAGGCAGCTCGGGTAGCTCTAGGGGATACAGGCGGGGACATCACCAGCGTCTGCTACGATGCCCATCTATGAATGCATCAGCCAGATCCCTGATCACGAGGTCCCCGTGAACACAGCTGTGGGCTCGGAAGCCCTCAGGTCACAGAATCGGGCATCAGTCCTGCCTAAGCTGCTAATACGTTGCCTAGAAAACATCCTTTCTTTGGTCCAAGGTCTCGTGTTTTCCTATGTAAAAGCAGAGCATTACAAATCTGCCATGTGGGACTGTTGTGATCGTACAGTAGAAATACAAACTTCTGCTCAGTGATGACTCCTTGTTATCTAGCTCAAGTGGAGACTGTTTTACGGAGACTTTGGGTCACTTGCCCGAAAGGATATCCTTGAGGGTTGTCTGCATGACTCACTTGCCGTGTATCCCCAACAACTGGCTGCGTGAAGCTTCCTGTTTATTGTGAGGTGGCTTGAAAGTTGTCTTCTGGTGGTCATCTTGCAAGGCCTCGATAGAGAGAAGACGGGGCCCCCAGAAAAGCTCTAGGACCAGTGTGTTGCTTCTGCCTCCCTGGCAGTGTCCTCTCCTCCCCAGTAGGTGGCAGTGGTGCTGCACTAACTCAGGCCCTCCTTGCTCTCCTGAGACGGCAGTTCTCTTCTCAAAGAAAAAAAAAAAAAAAAAAATATATATATATATATATATATATACACACACACACACACACATGCATATAATACAAAATATATATACATATGTCTTTTATAAGGTTAGATATATTTCATGAGGTTAGATCTTACATGTGTGTACATATACATACAGGGATGTATATGTATTTTTAACCATTTGCATACTTTTTAATTATATAAATAAATGAATATCATGTAAAAAAAAAATTGTGAACATACAGATAGAGTCTCCCCCACCACAACCTAAACCCCCGCCATCTCCTCCAAAATAACTGGAGTTGTATGTATTTGTGCACTCACATATTTATAGTACATTTAGAAATATAGTTCTGTATTTTAGCAGAATCGGCCTCTTACTCTCCATACTCTCCTGTCGCTTGCTATTAACAGTTAATGATGGAAATGTCAGCGCACATGTCCCCGCAGTGCCTGCCAAAGATTGCCTCTCGGTGGCCCCCCGCAGGGAGCATGGGAGTGGGAGCCGTCCGTCCAGGGTGCAAGCAGAAAGGGTGCACGTCTTGTAGAGAATTTTAAAACAGTAATAAGTCCAATAAAAGTCAGTCTTTTTATTATCACCTTGCACCACGCAGGGACAATTCTGAGCACTGTAACTTAGAGTTAGCCCTTTAGTTCCTCTGTTCTTTGCTTTTCCGGATGATATGTGGTAAAATCTAACCTTATTGTTTCAAAGTAAGCGTTTGTCACCAAATTGTTAGCAAATAATCCATGTTTTATTTGCTGGCTTCAGATGCCCCTTTTAATATATATTGACCTTCTTTTATTTCATGAGCCTGGTTGCCTTATGCTCTCTATTTTGTTCCATGGATGGAGAAGTCCCATTTGTGTACAAATACAACTTTATTTCAATTATAATAACTTCGTAACATACTTTGATATCCGGTAGATGGTCTTCCCTTCACAGTTGTTTTTTGTCGATGATATTTTATAAAGTGTCTTAACTTTTCTCAATCCTTTACTCACATAAATGACTTTTTACAATCTTCTCTTCAAGTTGAAAAAAGAAATTTAAGTTATGATCAGATTGCTCCAAATGCATTTATCTATTTGGGAAAAATCTATGTCTTTATAATATTGAGGCTCCCCATCCAGTGGTGTCATACCTGTCTCCAGTTATTTACTTTCACTCAAGTTGCAGAGATTTTTTTCAAAGCTCTCCTACTTTTGTTGTTCACAGGTTTTACAGTATGTTATACATTTTGTTGACATTGTGGATGAGATCTCTTTTATCTATTACACGTGCTGATTCGTTTCTGATAGCGTATAGATCACTATTGATTTTATGTTTATATTTTATAACTTAGCACCTAATAGATTCTTAGTCCTGATGGTCTTCCACATGGTTCTCTTAGTTATTCCAGGTAGATCCTCATCTTGTCCACATGGAGGACATTTTTGTGGTTTTTCCCATGATTTACGCTGATTCCTCTTGCTCGTCATCTGGCCCTGGCGACAACCTGTGCTACCCGAAGCGCTAGTGACATTGGCACTCGGTCTGTGTCCTGCTGCAGTCCTTAGGCACGTGCTTGCAGGGCTACACGGTTAAGTATGTTGCCTCCTCTACATTTAGTAGATACTCTCAAAACAAAGACGCATCTGCCTACTCCTGGCCTCCCAAACGCTTGTGTTCCTGCTCTTGCTGTCTCTCTCTCTGTCAAATAAATAAATAAGATCTTTTTAAAAAAGAATTGAATAAATAAATAAAAGTGTTGAGACTAATAAAATGAAGAGCTGGCTCAGGTAGATAGATAGATAGATAGATGATAGATAGATTCATTATATGTAGATAATGTACGTGTATATATAATGAATTTCCCCTCAAATACAGTTTTGTTGCATCCCACAGGCTTTGATATGTAGTGTGCCCATCGTCAAACTTTTCTAAGTAAATTATCACTTCCAATGTGATTCTCATTTTAATCAAAATTAAGAGGTAATTAGAAGAGTGGATAGCTTTCTGGTTTGTTTTGCTTTGTTATTGTCTCTAATTTTTAGTCCTCATGGCATTGTGAGCAACAAATATGGCTTATGTGGTTTTGCTGTTGGGAATCTGTTGGGATTTCCTTTGTGACCCAATACATGGCCAGTTTTTGTGACTATTACATGGGTGTGCTTGAAAAGAACACATATTCTCTGTTTGTTGAGGACAGACTCCATGTACACGTGCACATTGTTCTGGACGTCAGCAAGACAGACAAGGTCCTGCCTCAGAAGCTCATGTTCCCTTGCCTTCATGTCTGCCAGGCTTCACTTCCCTAACTTCCCTACTCTCTTCTACTATTGTCTTCATGCTTCTGTGGTTTTCTTACTTTCTGTCCCTTCGGAGTCTGGTGAGTCCCTAGGAGGCAAACCAGTGCATGCTGGCAGCTCCACTCCCTGCTGGACCCATGCCCTCACCAGCCCCGATTAGCATGTAGAGCCAGTTGAGGGCAGAAGTCCTGTCCTGCATTCTCTAACTGCATCCCCAGCCTCAAATCTCACCTCACATGTAACTCTGCACATGGAATCACTCTGTAATCTGTTACCACAGACTGCTGAATGCGTTCTCTGACCTCCAGAACCCCGACCCTGATATCTGCTGGTGGGATGACATCTGTGGGTCAGAATCACTTTCCCTCCAAAGCCCTGCAGCCGATATTTTATCGCCTCCTGCCTTGGTGTGATGAACAGAGACACCTGAAGACATCTTAATTTTTCCTTAATGTATAACCATTTTCTCTTCTCTTAGACATTTGTTTGATTTGCTGTTATCTTTAAAGAGCAGACATTTTGCCAGAAGGGTAGTGTGCTCTCATCTCGTGCTCTTGCACATAAGACAGTGAGCTCCTCTCTGCATACTCGGGTATTTTTTCAACTCAGGAGGGTTTCCTTCTGTCATTTTGATTCTTATTTCTTCCAGGCCACCCATAATCCTTACCTTGAATCTCAATTCTCTGTCTTCCATGTCTATGATCCTCTCTTACTCTTTTTCCCTTCTCTGATTGATCTTTTCTTCAGTCTTCTAGAACACCTTCCCAAATTTGTCCTCTCATCACTCATTTGTGTTCCTGGGATTAATTCTGCGATTACCATTGTCAGATGTGGGTTCTAATCCTGCCGTCGTGCTCTTAGTCTTTCTGCAATCTTTTGTCTCAACAGTCTCGCAGTTCATCTCATGCCACAGCCTTGTCTTTTAGTTGGAGTGCTTCTCTCTCGTAACTTTCTGTACCTCTTCATTGAGACTCTGTATTATTATGCCCTAATGAAAACACAAAACCACTATCAGACGTTGTGTCCTGCTTGTTAGTAAAATTTACGTGATGCCTTCAAGCTACCTTTGGTTTCCTTTGTTCTGCTGTATTTTTCCATAAATTCCATGTTAACTTTTTCTGTTAGTCATCCTTAAGTGAGGATAAAGCTGTCTCCACCCCACTGTTTGCCAGTATCTAGCATACTGAAACCATTTCCCCTCTGCCAGCTTGAGAGGAGCTTTTTCCTACTCTCATCATCTTGCTGTATGTTTCTTTGAACAAATGGCTAACAACTGAAAATGCATATGTTGAATGAATGAATGAGTGGAAAAGAACAAAAATCATTCTATATTTCTACATGTTTTTTTAACAGTTTCAATTACTTTTTTTTATTAGCATATAATGTATTATTTGTTTCAGGGGTAAAGGTCTGTGATTCATCAATCTTACACAATTCACAGAACTCACCATAGCACATACCCTCCCCAGTGTCCACCACCCAGCCACCCCTCCCTCCCACCCCCCTCCAGGAAACAAACTGAGGGTTGCTGAAGTTTCTACATGGTTTTATAGATCCCCGCCCGCCCCGGGGCTTTACATTTTCATGACCACACCTCCTAGAATGTAACATGGTACCATGGCGAGTTCTTTCCTCTGCCCTCCTGAATGTTCTAAGTGGCTATAAGACTAGGAGGAAGTGAGAGGGTTGGGAGTAGGGTTTATCTCTGGATGCTTCAAATGCCCCACCACCACAACAAAAGGCTCAGCTATTGTGCTTTTGTTTGTTTGATATTTTTTTATTGTGAGCATTTATCTCACACTCTGGACCAGGGTTTGAGGTTGGGAGAATATGGGGAGGTGAGGGGGAGACAGCAATTATCCTGACTACTTAGGAGAGGGAGAGAGTGGATGGGTCTCCAAAAACATTTTTTTTTTTTTCAGTTCATTTGCATGGGCCTTGTACTTAGTGAAAATTTTTCCCATCCATTTACTAGTAACAAGCTGACTTCCATTCCTTTTTAGTTATGTGAATTTTCACCTTTTCCTGTATCTTCCCACACAGTTTTGGTGGAAAACTTGGAGAGGTTGTAGAGTGATGTTTGCCAGGTATCATTTTAAAATGGAAACCTGCTAATTAATTTTCCATTGATTGAGACATCGGGATGGCAGGAGGCTGCTATTTCAGTTTCCTCTGATGTTTCATTTTTTGTTGTACTCATTAGTGCAACTTGTTTCCTTGGGGTAAATTTGCCCCCTTGTCTAGCAGGTGAGGTCTTAATTATTCTTAAAAGACGTTCTAAGAATCTTGCCACATTGGGAAGCTACTAATTCTTTAACAATCTGTAAATATTCATTTATTTTATGTGTTCATGCCTTGCAACAGAAAGAATTTAAAGTAGTTTACATAAATGTAAACACAAGAGAATAAAATGAAAACATAAGAAAAGCAGGACAAAGGGAAAATCAGGATAGAAAAAATAAATGAAGCTAGGAGTAATGTTAGTTCACAATATGGATGCGGAGAGGTCCTAATCACAAGCTGACAATGCCAAAAATTTGGCTCTGAGCTTTCTAGAAGACAATAGGTAGAGAATGATGTGAGCAGCTTGCTGAGTCATGGAAACCATATTAGAACAGCAAATCTATTCCTTAAAGGATGCTGCTCTTGGAGCTGAGATTCATGAGAAATTTATCCTGTGGGTCCTCGTGAAGAGAAAGCAGAATGCATCACCCTCCACTATAACCTGCTTCAAATGAGCACACACATTGGAGGCTGCTTCTCACAGTGTCACTCAGTATGGACCAATGCAGGCACATTTCAGTCAAGTCAGTCTATCAGGGGCCAAATGCATTGACCTCTGCTGGTCCGGGTCACTCCAGGATATGTGGAGGAGTAGATGGCTACCTCCCCAAGCCCTGGTTCATGAGTGTTGTTCAGTTCCAAATTCAAGGGGATGCTCTCTGGCAATTGTGACTCCCCCCCCATCCCATGAACACTGAGGCCTTCAACAGGTGCACATCCCTCTGAGGTGTGCCAAGAGAAAATCCCCAAGCAAGCCCTTCGATCTACCCCAATTGTATTTGAATTTCCTCCAGTATACAGACCAAAGGGTGGTAATCCCTGCACCCAACACCCAATTCTTCACCACTGATTTTCAAATCTTTTTAGCCATGGGACTTTGCCTGAAATGAAAACTTAAGGAGAAGACAATAATTTGGCTGAAAGTGGAACTACTCTGAGACAAGCCCGCCCTCTGCCCTTGCCCCTTCTTCCCACCTACACAGCAGCCTAAGCAAGTACAAATAATCACCTGGAAACAGTTTTGAGCAGGTGTAACCAATACCCCCTCAACAGAAGAAAAATCTTAGTCGGGCATCTGTCAAGTGATTCCCTCTGAGCATGACTGCTAGGTGTGCCCTCCATGATAGTTGCAGAGAACAGGTCTGAAAAACAAGAAGATACTTGCTGAATAATGGTGATTCTTAAATATTTTTGTGTCATAGACCCTATTGAGAACCTGATGAGCACAAACTCTTCTCCCCCATGTGTGTGTTTTCCATGGGGGGAGGAGGGATGCATAAACACAAGCACTCAAAAGCTTACAGACAATGTCAAGGAGTTTTTGGAGCAGGAACTTTCCTGAGTTTCCACAGACTTTGGGTTAGAAGTCCTGCTGTATAGGATTTTTAACCAGCAGTCATTGGATATTAAGGATCAGCCACCAAAAATGATGACATTAGTTTTGCAATAGTTAAATTAGAGTCTTTGTTTGGGGCAGATATTAAACAGCAAGGCTACCTATCAGTTAAAGCCTTTACTTATTTGTGGCAATCAAATCATGTTTGCTCTGTGAAGAAAATGTTGAACTCTCTATCCCAAATGGCAGGGGCCTGAACCCAGTTCACTCAAAATGGATGACAAGTCTTTAGGAACCAATGAAAAAAGGGGATCTGGAACACCCCTCCATCCCTCCACCCCAATCCTTGCACTGAATGCCATCACTTTTAGGAGACTCTTCTGACAATTCTGACTTGTGTGCTGGCCTTAAGGTCCAGGTTCTGAATCACCATCAAAATCCAAAGGTCTACACCCAGTTTCAATGCAGAGTCAAAGGAACAAACAAAGATGAAATCCGCTGTTAATGCTGCTTCATTCCTAACAGATTTCTCCCCAAAGCGAGAGACCAATTGTGGTCAGTATGAAAATAATTGTGTCTCAAATGCCTGTTCCTCATGTACATATTGATCTGAGAAGGCCAGGCTAGTGATTTTCTAGATATTTTATATGGGGCTGGCATAATTCTGGGGAATGAGTAGCTGCCCTTTTAACAAATGGCACAGTCTAATTCTGTCAGATAGAAGGTGATAAAGAGAAAAAACATGGACGAGCGGCAGACCCCATTAGTCAGATATGATTTTTTGCTCCGGGAAAAGGAGACGTGCCCCAGATGAGATTAAGGTTTTGTCCATTTGTTTCTAAATCAATTTTATAATCTGAAAGACTCGGAAAACAGCCTGGGATCCATACCAGGACAACTGACCTGTAATTGTAAAAACTAAAACTAAACCTTCCGGATCGATATCTAGGTGCTAAGTTTTCACACGACTTCCTTTAACCAAATGCATCGCCCACATCTACCTTCCGTACAGTTCCACTGGCCAAACTCAGGTCCTTCCCTGTGAAGGGTCTCTCACGGAGGCAGGAGGAAATAGATTGTAATACTAAATTTGATGAGATTCCAGGTGGCATGTTCCCATTCCCACCATGTTAGTTGGCCGAGGATTTGGTGTGTATCTGTGTATGTGTGACTGTTCTTATCACACCAGTGATAAGAAAAATAAACATCTTCATCACCAGGGCACAACCTGTGAATAAAATTATTTTTAGGTTAATAGTGATACATCAGGAGAGGACAAACCTCTGCGTGAAGGTACCAGAGACAGAAATTGTCCAAGTCCTCAGAAAAAAAACAGATCAGCGGTAGAGTCGGCCAGCCCCGAGGCTCACCCTCCCTTCTGCAGCTTCAGGACAACTCTGCCAAGGCATTTGCAAGTAAAACTCCATGTATTTGCCACATACGGAACTCCCAGGGCTGGGTAACCTGTAAGTCAGGTCTCTTCTCTGAAGTTCACTAAAATATCTAAAAGCAAGCTGCAGAAACTCTGCTTTTTAGGTCAGCTTCGGTGTTTTTCAACAGCAGGAACAGGGAGAACCATAGGACACTAGGATACATTCAACGAAGGCTGATATGTAACATTTGAAAGTCATCCTGGAGATGGGCTTTTTTTTTAAACGTGGAGAAAATGCTGAGCCTCCCACTGTTCCCTCAAATGACCTGGCAGATGAAAGACAGGCTTTGTAAAAAAAAAAAAAAAAAAAAAAGGGTTTCTAGGACTGGGGTTGCTCAGTCTAGAAGACGTTAACATGGCTCCCTTCAAACGTGTGAAGAATTTTGATCAGGATGATGGGGAGGTGTAATAGGAGAAAAATTGCTTTAAATTAAAGCAGGCAGGATTTCGGGGTGCATAAAGCCAGATCACAAGGGTGAATGAAGGTAAAGACAGTCAGTTCTCTAAGGAAATCTTTAAAGGTATCCATCTCCAGAAAGCTTCTAGAAAAAGTAGCTCTCCCTCATTGAAACTTCCACTTCTTTGAAGGGATTAAATCCTTTGCCTGTCGGGTTCTGTCCCTACCCTGTGGTTCTACTATCTTCTGCTCCTAATGAGCTGGTTTAATCTGGAGCATCTGGCCTTGTCTTGGAAGAATGGAAAGAGCTTGGCCTTCAGAATCAGGCTGTCTTCAGCTTGGCCCCACGCTGGTCACGTGACCTTGGACAGCCTACACAAGGCTGGTGTCCTTGTGGACACAGAGGGAACTACCAGGCCACTTTAATGAGATCTGGCGTGTCTTGTGCCCAGTGCAGTACTCACCCACACTCATGTGCTCAACCACAAGAACTGTCCAGGCTTGGCCCCCACTCGCACACCCCATCACCTCCTTATACTTCTCTCTCTGTGTTTCTCAAACATGAGAATTCCCAGATTCCTCAGGAATTGTTCAGAGGATGTCTGGTTCGAAATCTAAGATCCGTGGAGGTGAAGCTGGCAACCCTCAGTTGCCCTAGTAATTCAGACGGTGCCTTCTTTTTAGATGATCAATGAAATTAAAGCCAAAATTTAAAAATTATTATAAATAAGAACTTGCAGACCACTGAGAATATATCAGCAGACTCTTGTTTAAGAAACCGTCCTAGCTTAGCTTAATGAGTATTCTGTCACTAGGTGTTTAAAACTATACTTTCTTATTTAGCCAGAGTCTCCAGGTTCCACATGCTACATTGATGTGCGCAAGGAAAAGGGGATGCTTTGTCCTTCTGTAGCTGCCGTACCCTTCCTCCTCCACCTCCCCAGTCTGCAGAGCCAGCAATGTAAACTAGCCAATCCAGGAACACTCAGCCTCTTGTGATTTCAACAACTTTATCTCTTTAAAACCGACTTTCCTCTTCTAGGTAAATAATCAGCCCTCCAACCCCTCCACTTTCTCCACTTTTGCCATCTTGGGGAGCCAGAGGGGAAGCCTCTGGAGTCCTTGTGGCTGCAGGGCCATCTGAGGGCTGAGCAGGGTCCTCTGGGTCCTTGCAAGTCTCTTCAGTGATGGAGCCTCTGTTCACGAAGTCATTCTCGCCCTGCTGGCATCCTAAGGCCTGAGAACCTGTCTGTTCCCTGTGTGTGAGGTCAGAACACAGTCCCTCTCCCTCAGGCCCCATCATGGCTGCCACTCTCATCCTCCCCAGGGCCCTGGCTGTCTGCCCCAAGGCAGCCCCTTCCTTCCCACCATAGGAGCCCCTAGGAAGCTCATCTTCCAGCACCACCAACGATATTCCATGAGCCCACTTCTGGATGCTCTCTGCCCCACACAGGAGCTTGAGGAGACCTGGAGCCCCTTCAGGCCTCCCTCTGAAGCCTTTCCTCAGGGTCTGATTCAACTCTGATATAGCTGCCTCAAATTATTAGGGGCCAAAGGGTCAGAGACCACAGGCAGCTTATGCGGCTCCTTCTCCCTGGATCCCAACTGAGGAACAAGCAAAATCCAGCATTTGAACCTCAGGGAACTTCAGTCTCTAGAAACTTCTGTCTCCACAAAATCTGGGCTACTCTGTCACCATGTTAAAGAGGTGAGCTGATCAATGATCAATGATCTTTTCGTTCTAGATCTATACTCTTTTTCCTAGGGTAATTAGGCTTAGCTAAGAAGATGAAGATACAGGGCACCTGGGTGGCTCAGTCGTTAAGCATCTGCCTTCGGCTCAGGTCATGATCCCAGGGTCCTGGGATCGAACCCCATATGGGGCTCCCTGCTCCGCGGGAAGCCTGCTTCTCCCTCTCCCACTCCCCCTGCTTGTGTTCCCTCTCTCACTGTGTCTCTCTCTGTCAAATAAATAAATAAAATATTTTTTTTAAATGAAGATACAAGAGAATGCAGTTTTAGTGGGAACTGAAAAACATGAGTTTCTTATTCTCAAAATAATGTCCCCTTATATATACCAGTGCTGATCTATAAAGTGGGAGGATTGAGACAGTGCACCGGTGGGCAGGCAATTCTTATTTTCAACCAATTACATAAAATGTTTTATGCCCAGATACACATATTGCTGATAGTTATCCAGCTTGCCCATAGGAATTTCATCCTATGATTTTTTCTTTTTCACGTCACAAAAGTTTCTTAGAATTCTCCACTGTCTTCATAACACTCTTAGTAATCTGTTTGAGTTGCTGTCCAATATTTTCATACTTAAGGTCCCTTTGAAGTACAAGAGTATATTCTTCAGGCTGGAGATTCTGCAGATCCTCAGCTTCTCTACATGTTGAGTCTAGGTTCCCGACAGACCCTGGAAACCAACTGCCCTTCTCCGCCTTCCTCTGAATTCCGCTGGAAATCTGCCATCCCCTACTCAAGTACCATGTACTTATCTACTGTTGTCTCACCAGGAAGTAGATTGTGTATTCTTCTCAATGCTTCTTAGCGCTTTGGGGGCGTGGATGCCAATGAAATTCTAATGACAGCTGGTACCCCTCCCCCTAGAAAAGTGCATGTAAATTGAAGTCTGCAAAGAGTATCAAGGATCCACAGAGGCCAACAACAGACCCGTGTTAGCTGAGACCCCAACTTAACATCTACTGTCCCAGCTCTCATGGAGACGGACATGAAAATCAGTACGTGGGGAAAACGTATAAGTTTATAACACAGAGTAGGGATGGCTTGATCTTTGTAGGAAGAAAACACAGACCTATTTTTCTTAGAGATGTAAATATTTGTTAATGTACTTGATAAACATTACAGGGCCAAATATTACTCAGTAAGTTTTGAAGCTCTGGCGGCTTTTGATAAGGATGCTTCCATCTCTGTTCGTGGTATCACATCTCCTGGTGTCAGATACCTGTAC